CCCCCCCGCCTCTCTTTAATCACATCTTGTTATATGAGGAGCCCTCTCCTCCCTCTCTGCTGCTGCAGCTCTGAAATGGGGAGCCCCCGAAACCTCTTAATATCTCCAACGCACACAAAAAACAGCAGTGCAACAGAAAGCAATAAATCTCTGCTTCTGGAGCTCATCCCATCGAATGGGATGGGGCTGGAGGGAGCCACCGGCTCGGGTGCGGTTCCCAGGGCAGTCGGCCAGCTTCCATCGATCCGGCTCGCCGTGGGTCCGTGGGGACGGGAGCTCGCACAGGGAAGCTGCCTGACGGACCCATGGATGCTCCTACCACCGGGCGGTCCCATCCCCGGTGGGTGGGAAAGCACTGAGGGCAGGTTGCTGCAGGTTGTTTTGGGAGGATGCTGGCACTCACGGAGACTCTGGGGAGTCCCCGCTTGTTTAACGCCCGTGGGCTTCCGAGGATTTTGGGGGAAGCATCTGCCAAAGTACGGGGTGCATCTTGGGAGTACGCTGTTGAGGTTTGGTAAGGATCATGGGGTCTTTCTCCGAAAGAGGTGTTGTTTTGGGCACGGTGTCCCTGTGGGCTTTCTGAGGACGGGTGAGCGGGGCCCTGAGCAGGATTGGGCACATCTAAACCCATGTGCAAAGCCGGGGGGGGGCTCGGCTGCCTTGGGGACCACATCGCAGGGATGAATGGGCCTGAAGAGCAAGAGGCCACGTTCCTCCTGTCATCACCGATGTGAGCTGACATCCGTCCCCGTGGCAGGGACCAGCACGGCCGGTCCCTTCCTTAGGACGGATCCTGCACCTCTTGCACTGACCCGGGAAGAGATTCCTGGGGAAAAGGAGTCCGGGTGGGAGAGTGTCTCTGCTGTCCTTGGCACTGTGCTGGGAAATAGGGAATGCACCCGGATAAGCACTCGGATGTTTGGTTCAGGGCAAAAAACGGTCTGTGGGGGCTGTGGCTGGAAGCGATCCATCAGGCTGCACGGAGCAGAAGGGTCCAGGTTTCTCCCCCGCACAGAGAAATGGTTCCCCTATAGCTTTTAATGGGATTTGTGCCTGCAGGTCGGAGCTCGAGTGCTATTTCTAGCTTTGCTTCTGACTCACTGATGTGATCTTGAACCAGTTTTTCAGGAGGAGACTGTGAGGTTTTTTTCTGGTTTTTTTTTTTTTCGTTTTTTTTTTCTTGAGGAATTTAGTTTGAGAGACTCTGGGCCTCTTTCTGCAGAGATGCTGAGCATCCAAAACTCCCCTTGACTCTCAAAAGTGTGCAAAAATGAGCTGCAAAGTGGCTCTGAGTGAGGATGCTAAATTAGGGACTGGGGAGGGGGAGAGTCCCACCGTCTTTGGTAGATCGCATCGGGCCACCTAACGTAGGTGGTATGGTTGTCTTTCCTCCTCCCGTGGAGATTTTTGTCCCTCTCTGGGATGGAGGACTGAAGCTCTCTGGTCTGAGAAGGTGCTCCTGGGTTGGCACCCAGAGGAGACCGCACTTGTATTCCAGTTTAATCCTTTGTGCCATGGTTTTGGAGAGATGGAAAGTGATGATTACAGCGCGGGTTGTCTTCTAACACCCAACCACATGCCTGAACCCGTGAGAAACCCATCAGCTCTTTAATATCTTCCAAAATCTCTGCTAAGTAAGGGCAATGGGGTGAGGCTCATACACCAGCTGGACACCGCCAAGTGATTAGGGCTGCTAGGAAAAAATTATCTGGATGGGGAATGTGTTTTATCGGGGAAAACTAATCTCTGTGGTGATGTTTTGTGTCAAAGTCCTACAGATTTGAATGCTGAGCTATACGAAGAAAAGCATCTCTAGATTGGTGTTATGAGAGTGTAGCACGTGGGTGTATAAATATGGGCATATTTGTGCATAAATACACAGAAGGAGAGAAAAAGACAGAGGAGGAGGAGGTATTTCAGGAAGGGCCTTGCTTTGTTATCAGATAATTCCTGGGTCAGCCCTCGAAATCTCTGCCAAAGTCTTACAGCTTTTCCAGAGCTTGCAATACACGCAGGGACGAGCGCAAGTGAAGGACATGCGGATTTGGCCTTGGAAGTGGGAGCATCCCCAGGGGCTGAGGGCATCCGACTCCCCGTCCCTCTGCAAACCCTCTGCTCTGCATCCCGAATCCCCAGCTTGGGCCCGTCGCAACCGTTTCTGCGACTGGGCAGGCAAAGCCACGCAGAAATGGAAGGGGTTTGGTTTGCTGCGTGAGCGCTGCACTGCGCACCATAGGGGTTTGGAGTTGGCTTTGTTTTTTTTGGGAATGGCTGGATTTCAAGTCCCTCGAACCATGTTGGTTTTTGGTCCCAGGGTGGTGGGAAGAAGCATCTCCCTGTTTTGCAGCCGGAGTGGGTTTATTTCAAGGTCTACATCCACGGAGGAGTCCCAGGGGCTTCTTCTGTCAGCAGGAGCTGGTCAGCGTGCTGCTAGGATGAAAGGGGGTGAGGGGAGGAGGAGTCAGCCCCAATCAATTCCATTTTGCCCCCCAAAAAAATGCCTGTGGCTCCCTCCTCGCACCCCTGGCATCATTCAACCTCCTCCATGGCCAGCGCATCCCTTGGTCCCTCCTGTCAGGGACCGGCTGCCGCCTCCCACCAGGAGCCCCGAGGGGGGCACAAGG